TTTTTTGTCTCTTTAGTTTCACTTTCTCGCGGAACCCGGAAGCCGTAGGACCGGTCGACTAAACGCGAGGGGACTCGTTAACCCTCGCGTTGAGCCTGGGGCTGAAGGCGTCGACGGATGCCCGGCACGCAGCGGCACGCCGGCAGCATGTTCCAGCCTTGGGTGTTTCTCGCCGCCACCACACCTACCTACTCCGTTTCACCTCTACGCTGGTGACAGTGCGCTGGAAGCTACGTTGCCGCCCGTTCTCACGAATAAGTGCGTTGTGCGTTTGTTTAGACGGCGGGAAGTTGGTCAGCACCACGCGGCCGGCCGGCGCCTCCGCTGTAGATGAGAAATTTCGCCACTCCATCGTTATCTAAACTCACGAGACACGGAGAAGGAAAATGACGAACAAAACGACGCAAAATCTAATTTTGTGTCTTCTTGCCCGTGATTTTCTTTCTTCGTGTCTCAAGTTTTTAGATCGTGATGTTTTCTAACCATCTCGCCTGCTTGTACTTTCGCCTCTTGCAATTCTAGCCAGTGCAGTGCGACTTCTTGCCAGAGGCAGCGTGCAGTCGCTCTTACGATGTGCTCATCCAGATTGAAACGGGTGGAGTGAGGGGAGCGCGAGAGTTCGCCCGTTCGAACAGACGGTGGGGTGGGGTGATGATGAAAGGGAGGATGCTGAATGGCCCAGCGAGTGCTTAGCTTCCCTCGCACTGTCAGCTTAGGGATGCGCGAAGTTTGGAACGCGTTCGGTTTCCTCGTGTTGCGACGGTGGGCAGCAGCCTGTCTCGATTATGTATCGTTTGTCATCGATCGACAACTGGTTTTTTGGGGTTGATAGCTTCCAAAGGACGGGACCGTTTGGCTGGTCTGCCGCCACCGGCCAGATTTCGAATCGTCGGGTCTCGTCGACTCGGAAAAGACTGATTACGGCGGTGTATAATGCTATCCCCGCCACTATAATAATATGAGAAGAACTCTATACTGCCTCGACGTTCTTGCTCTTGATGTCGCCACGATAAGACTGGCGGATGCACATTAAGGCACCTCGCGAAAAACAGGTTAAGGAACGGAACGCTTCAGAAGGTCTACTCTAGCTCAAGAGTGCTGTAAAAAAGTTACGATTTCCTCGAACAATATTTCGTGTATAGACCTTTCTAATGTTTACAAAATCACAGTCCAGCGTGCGATCTTCACAGTCCAGCACGTGCGTGTTCGTCGCTTCGAAAAGCGAGGAATGCACGAGCAATACGCACGAACACTCAAGATGACGCCGGCCACACGCTCTTTCTTGGAAAGGTCTATACACGAACTCAACTCTCCTACGTCACGCCGCGGTGGTGGCGCGTCGGACGCACTTCCGGTCTGGGGCGGTGGGCAGAAGTCGCCGTGCCAGACATGCATTCTTGTGTTCCTTTGAAAGAAACGAGGCAAAAAACCTGCTTTCTCGTCAAAATTTTGCGATAGGGGCTGTACCAAGAGAGTCTGGAAAGGTTTGAAGATCAGTTTTCATGTGTTTTTGCCCCCTCCGTTCGTCCGAGGACGTGGATAGTAGCCGTGAAAGGGGCGAACAGACGCTGTCGAACTACGATTGCGTGTGAGGGCAACACTTTGTGGTCGCCAGATATATTTGCTTTGTTCCAACATAAACGAGAGAAAACCGCCAAGTTGTCCGGACCACCCACGGGTTCAGTGCGTCTTCAAATTCACTCGGCCGCCTGATCGTTCGAACTTTCGTCTGAAACTTGTCTGCTTTTTGTCGTCTGCTCGTTCAAACAAAAGCGGCCCGTCGACCAATCTTTGACCCGGTGATTGCAATAAGAAGTAATTGCAGGCCTCAAAAGATTTAAGTAGGCTCGGTGTAAACAGTAGATACAAGATGTTGATCATTGGTACCGGTGGCCATCACCGACTTGTTACGCTTGATCTGTTCCCGGTTCCGATTTTCAGTATCGACGTCGATCATCGACGTTACCTTCTATACTTTTGCAGCGCGAGCGACGTCGCGACCGAAAATAGCTAGAAGAATCTCATCATGGTTTTGGCGTCCATTCTGCGGCGTTCATGCGAATGAATCGCCGCACGTCAAATTATTTACGGAAAGTTTAGCGGCATAACCAGCCTTGATAATTTCGCTCAGGCGATTAAAGTGGTAAGACATTGCGATGATGACGTAGAATCGACAATTCCAACGCGAAAAAGAGTATGCAGACTCACACAGACGCCGACAACGTGACATTTGAATGGTTTGTTGACGCGGGACGCGGTGCTTCTTGCCCGCACTCCATTGCGCATCCGTTCGAACTGTCGTCTGCTCTTTCAAACTTGGCTGCTTTTTGTCATCAGCTAGTTCAAACGACAGCGGCCCGTAAACCAAACGTTGACCCGGTAATTGCGATAAGAACTAAGTGCAGGCCTCAAAACACTTTTGAAGGTTGGTTGGGGTGAGTGGGCTAAGTGTAAACAGATACAAGATGTTGACCATTGTTACCAGTGGCCATCACCGACTTGTATTGCCCGACTCTCCTTGCGGTTTTCAGTATCGACGTCCACCATCTCAGCTACGGTCCACGCTTTTGCAGTCCGAGCGACGTCGCGACTGAAAATAGCGAGCAGAATCTCATCGTGGGAGTCAGGCTTTAGCGCCCATTCTGCGGCGTTCACGTGAAATGAATCGCCGCGCGTCCCATTATTCACGCAAAGTTTTGCCTCGTTAGTTTTGCTGAAGCCGCTCAAGTAGTCAGACATTGTTCGGAGGACGTAGAATCAACAATTCCAACGCGAAAAAGAGCACGGGGACTCCCACCGACGCCGACAACAACGCAATTCAATGGTTTGTTTATGGGCGACGTGTTTAAAAACAAAATTGAGCCCCATTTTATATAATAGCATCCTATCACGGTCCCGAGCTATTTTTGCGTCCAGAGAGGCGCTATGGGAAGAGCTCGGCGCACCAATATAGCCCCAAAAAAGTAGGAAACAAACAACAACAAGAACAAAAAACACTAAGAGATTCGCAATGTCCTACGTTGCGGAATGCCTTCTGCTCGTCCCGGCGCTCCACCTGACCTTTCTCCGCCCTTGTCTCCTAACCTTCTCCGCCAGTCGGTCTCCTATCTTACTTCAAACACAATTTTTTTTTTTTGGTACCGCTATTTTGAGGGCAGAGGGCAGGCAGCAAACTAGCCACACTTCTTCGTGATGGCAAACGCGCACCTCGTTCCGTAAAAATGAATACGTAACGAAGTGGGCTCCCCCCCCCCCCCCCCCCCCCCCCTTTCTCCTCCCTGACTCCACCGACTTCTATTTGTTAGGAGATATTTGTTTGTTTGTTTCATTTCTTCTGCCGGGGGCGCTCTTGCTCGTGCGTCGGACGATAACTCGCGTTCTTTATTCGTGCCCTGGCCGTGCGCCTTGCTTTGCGAGGTGCATGCCGTTGCCAGTGGCCTACATGGCGGATTTCGCCAGTCGTACTACTGGCAAGTATAGTCTTTCGCGCCGCCGAACCTGCTCGAAGCGGGGAAGAAGGGGGCATTAAAGGGCGGACGAAAGAAAGAGGAACGACTCGTTGAATATACGCGAAGCAAGTGCGTTCGTTGCTCGAGAGAAAACGTGCCGCCGTGCCCGAAAAACTTCACTGCGGGACGTTTCTCTTCGATGCTCTCCGTGTTATTTTTCTTTTCTTTATTTCTCGTTATATCCTCGAGTCCTGCTTTCGCTAGAATGAGCGTTTAGTTTCGTATCCTTTTTCTTTTCCTTCTTCTGCCGCTCTTCGCTTTCTCGGGCGCGCGAAAGCGGCCGGTCGGCAGTGCGTATCGGGAACTTTCTGTGCGATGGAATTCCACGTTCGACTGCGCAGTGGCGGCAATTTTCGGCCCTAGTCCTTCCTCGTATGTTTCAAGTTCTACGGGAATCACCATGCCTAAAAAAAATCTTTCATTTGCTCGATAGTACTTTTCCTCTAATGAAGGCAAGGTTTAGGGGTTCTAGTCGCTCAACCGCTGCGTTTTTTTTTTTTTTGGAGCTCCTTGTGACGACAAAAACGCCGAGAATTCGGCTTTTCATCCCAAACACGCAACCAACCTCGCTTATGCAAGCCGTCGGACTGGCCACGGCTTAGCGAAGTCATCTCCAGCGACTAGAGCCGCCGTGAAATGTCTGACGCGCCAAGGGCTCGCCTTGACACTGAATAGAAGGCAGGATACCAAGAATAAGGAAGTAAAGATCGACAGTATTTATTATACAACATAATTACAGTACGCAGTTCCAAAGGCCTTTTGTTGTCGTATGTCTTGGTGTGGGTTGCCCCTCCCTCCCCCACCTAGCGTTCCCCCTTGTCGTCTCTCACTTCCCGGACATTCCATTCTGCTATATACAAGAGTATGCACAGTATGGCAAGAAAAACGTCTAACGCAAACACCGTGTTTTTCTTCGAACACAAAAAAAAGAACGAAAAAAGAAACGGTGAAAACAACAATCCATAAACAGAGCTAAACGTAACTTGCGGGCAATCCGAATTCTACTAAATAAAAACAAATAACGCTAAACACGAGGAGAGAAAAGAAAAATGTCCTCCTCGATACGTCCTCTGATCATCCACCCGTGGCATGAGAGGTATAAGATCGCCTGTACAAGGAATATGCCTTATGTACAAACGTAAAAAAGAAAAAAAAAAATACACGAAGGTTTTAAAACAGTTGGTTACGGTGGCGATAAAAAAAAAAAAAAGGAAAACGAAGAAAGCCGAGCTTGCTGACTGTGGTCTTTCGTAACACGGCATCCAAGAGTTGGACAGTTTTCAAAAGGATTGTCCCGCAGAGGTTTGGGCTTACGGCCCTTCTAGAGCGCTCCACAGATGGCTACAGAGCGTAGCTAGCTGCAGAGATGCAGCTTCCGTGGCTCGTGGAGTGCTGCAGAGCGGCCGATGCCCGGGCGGATCCTCCCAATGGACGTGCCAGGCCGTGCTCGTTGTCTTAGGTGGCCGACTGGAGACCTCCGCTGCGTTAGACTTAGTGCCATCCCTTGGACTCGAGGCTGTGAAAGGAGAGAAGGAATCACACATTACTATTGACGAAGACACGCTCGACAAAGTTGGAAATGAACGCTTGTTCTCCGGCGGTGAGGAAACAACGCCGGCTACACGAAAAGCGCGCAGTCATCGCGTTTGCTGAGGGCGCGGCCCTCCGCCCGTGGGAAGGTCGTTCCGAGGTAGAGGACCCCCTCCGAGAGGGGTGTTCCCTCTCGAAACGCGCTCTTGACAGCGGACAGAAGTGGACCGAAAGTACCGGTTCTCCTCGACACTGACTCTGAAAAGGGCCGACTGGAACGAACGGCTTTGTCTGTGGGACGACGTCCGCCGCCCTCTCCTCCGAGCGGGAAAGTTGGCCGCCACGTCCGAGAAAGGAAGGCGGGAGCGATAGAAACGGGGGCTTACACGACGGGGACGGGCTTCTTGATGATCACGGGGTGTTCCTTGACGACGGGCACCTCTACGGGGATGTGCTTGGTGAAGGGCACCGGCACGTGCTTGTGGATGTGGACTGGGTACGGCTTGGGGATGTGTACCGTCACCGGGACCGGGAAGGGCTTGTGCACGATGTAGGGCTTGGGCACGTGCACCACGTACGGCTTGGGCACCTTGACTGGGTACGGGACAGGGTACGGCTTGTGGATGGTGACCTTGTGCGGCACGGGAACGGGCTTGGGGACGTGAATCACTTTGGGCACCGGGTAGAACTGGTGTACGATGTGAGGCACGGGCACCGGCTTCGGCACGGGCACTTGCTTGTACACGGGCACGGACTTGTGCACAGGGTAGGGGACGGGCACGGGCACGTGGTGGGGCACCGGCACGGGCTTGTGCACCTTCTTCACCACCAGGGTGAGGTGCGGCTCGTACCAGCCGTGGCCGTGTCCGCCGCCACCTCCGTAGCCTCCGCCGCCGCCACCGAAGCCGCCTCCGCCGTAGCCACCGCCTCCGAAGCCTCCGCCGCCGAAACCTCCGCCGCCGAAGTGACCTGGCTCAGCCAGGGCGCTGCCCAGCAGTAGGGCAGCCACGCAGAGGTACGCTCTCATTCTGGCACCTGCGTCCGTTGAGCAGCCTGAATCTCCGACACAAGGACAGTACACCGCACACTTGAATAATCGGTTTGGGTTAGAAGGCGAAGAAGCTATGCATCCCGGAAGAAGCTGGGGTTTAACGCTTTGGCGGAAGCTAAAGGCTTAGGGAATGTACTGACGGTGCGACACCTGAGAAGAGGTAATGCTATCAAAGCCCACTGACCGACTACTAGATATATGCATCAGTGCTGATTGCAGTGTCGAAAGGGGGGACGCGGAATCTAGTGCTACCCATTCAGGCCTGCCCCTCCAGACGCACTTCCGGGAAGGCAGACCCTAGCTATCGTGGTCGCGATTATAACCGCGAGCCCCGGGCGGAAGGGGCACCCGGTGTCGAAGGCAAGCCCCCTGGAAGGGCTCACGACTCCCACCCGTCGAAGGAGGCTCGCGGCCGGCGCGCACTCACCTCGCGATGTTCTCGGATATCCCAAGGACCAGTGACGACCGCTGTGAATTGAACTCTATCTTTTATAGAGGCTGACCAGCAAGCGAGGGGGTAGGCGGACCCGAACACACGCACACACACAGCGCCACGACGCGAGCGGACAGGGGGGAAAGGATCGGTTCGCTGCTACGGTGGATGGCTGGCAGTCTCGCTTTATTTATACTGTCCGCCAATGGCGTCGCTTGACCCATTTGGCGAGCGGAGAGGACTTGTGCAAACTAGGGCAAGCCAGGGAAGGCCTCCTCTCCCGCCGGTACCTCCTCCGCCGGACCGTGCAAGCGGGGACTCTTCCCTTTCGCTGCTTTGGGGACCCACGGGCCAGCGCACCAGCGGGCTCTCGCTTTCCACGCTTTCCTCTCTTTGTTTTCCAAGGCTGCTGCCGCCGACTGTGGGACCCCTCCTCGCCCACTTCGTGAAAGTAAAAGTGCTTGCCTTTTACGTGCGTGCGCGGTGCTGCTTTTTTTTTTACTTTTCTGGAGGGTGCAGGCGTAGTGAAAGTTGTCCAGGTGGGCGGAAGATGCCCCCCCCCCTTCCCAATCCCGGCTTTTTTTTATTCTTCCGTCGGCGGATTCCTTTCTCTGCGTACGCTTTTTACAGGACACTTTCTCTTTTTTGTGTGTATGTGTTTTTATCTTGTGGTCTAGAGGAATGGCCTCGAGTGATTGTGGCGTCTAGTTTATTGGCAGCTTTGGTGATATGGTGGATTGACACCGTATTGAGGATACGGGGGGGGGGGGGGGGGGGGGGGGGTTGGGGCTGGTGGCTTCCTTTACATCTATTCGTCCCGCTGTGGTTTCGAAAATCTCATTCGTCGTGCTTGTTTTGCTGTAATACGAGGCTGGTGTCGCGCTATATTGTATTATGGGAATAAAAATAACCCACTGCATTTCTCGATACTTGTGCCGTTTTGTTGTTGACACAGGCGAGAGAGTAGGAGTTGTCGTATTTATTTGGTACAATGAAACTACCGATTCTGGAATTTGAACAGCGTAAATTCTGTTATTTAATTTCGTAAAACGTTTCTTTAAACATATTGCATGTTTTTTTAGTGTTTTTTTTTTTTTTTTAAGCGTTATTAAGTTTCAGGCGTACGCGCATGCAAGTCTTGCACTGACGACTCTTGTCATTATTATTATATTTATATGCCAGCATCGCATAACTGGGAGGCTCGAAAATTTTCTTCGTAGAAGACAAAGTACCTTAAGTTACTCAACGTGGCGTCGATTTAGAGCGGCCGGTGTTTTAATGCCAGTAGAAGGGGAGAGTAGTGAGGGGGGCAGCAAGAAGGGACAGAGGGATTGATGGGGTCAGGAAAAGAACCCTGAACGGTTCGGGACAAAGGAGACGTGACACGAAATTAAATCGACGACGAAGAAAGGGGACCACAGAAAGAGGCAGGTTGCAGTCGAGCTGCTCGGGCAATGACAGCTTAAACGTCAAGGAAGACGCAGCTGGGTTCATTTACTAGTGAATGACAATTCCTGCACGTTCAGACATGTAAAGGAGACACGCTTGTGCAATGAGTGTTCAACGAACCTAGCCAAGCTGATTGAAGCCCTCCAAGCTCGGGGACCCCCTCTCAACAATCCTCGCCCAAGGCTATGAAAGCCTTTTCGCACATGCAGCAGAGGGCTACAAGCATAGCGCTTACCTCGAGCTAAGCGCGTGCTGACGGGAGCGTTCATCAGCTTTGTATCGCTCCGTCAAAACTGTTGCTCATGGTAGACGACAAGACGCTGACGACACGTGACTAGGGCTAAATCAGCGCTTCGAGGCATGTGAGAACCGGCCTGTAGGTCAGGTTTATCTTCTTCTCTACTAAACGTGGAAAAGACACCCGCACCCCACTGTGCGTAGAAAACAAAACAAACCATGCCCATACAAAAGAGACAAGGTGTGCCAGTGACCCTCTTTTGGTTACCTGCCCACTCTGTGGCAGATGCTAAACATCATCAGTCTGTCTCTGTCAATTTCAAAGAATATTCAGTGTTACTTTTCAAGCAACCGGTTATTTTACGGCGTCCCATTTTGTAAAGCCGTCAAATAGGAAGGGAAGTTTATAGAGTAGAAAGTTTCTTCCAAAACTAGAAAAGCAGAGTTTTTTTCTTCAGGTTTAAGGTTTTAACAGTATGCTTTACGAGATTGGGCCCCCTTCCATAGGTCCCTTTAGTTACCTTGTCTATAGAGCCGAACCTGCCGTTCTAATGGTGGCATCACACTACTTCACCAGATCACGAGAATGTGTAGTCTTTAGAGCATATATTCACTATCTCGTCTTTTTTTCATAGAGTTGAGGTTACGTGATTGAGTTTATTTGTTCTCCTGTCACCACCATCATTGCAAAAAAATTTTTGATTACTGTTAGATGGCTTTCACATCTGAAACGGACGTCCAGCGCTCGCCCGATAGACTATCGCAGTCTCCCTTGACGGTTCTAAATAAACTTGACGTAATATAGTTCCACCGGCTGTCACCAGTCTAACGCCCAACGGAGGAAAAAAGAAATAACCGATATCCTGCTCTATTCAGCTTGATCGCGTCTGTACAAGCACATCAATGGAACCGCTTGTGTTGCTTTATATATGTATGAACATGACTTGTGAGGAAGTTTAGCAGATCTGGGCTCATATGTTGTTACGTATGATAAATTTTGTTGTTGTTTTGGTTGCGAGCTTCTCGTTTGGATTTTTCAAGCGCTTGTAAACTTCGTGCTGGCAGAAGTTGGCATCTGAGCATACCGCAGAGAAGGTCAAATTTCGACCTTGAAACATTTGTCTAAAACAACTTTACTGAACTTCGGTTGTTCTTGCGGTGATGGACTTTGATTATGATAGCATCAAAGGTGATGCCACTGGAAGACCATCATAGTGGAGATTTAACGTTGCATTGAGCAAAAGGGCTCTGGACTGGTCGTTTCCTAAGAGTACCTCATGGAATACTTGCACACATTAAAAATACACTGAAAGTGTGCTGAATTTTAACTCCGATGTGGCGATTCTCCGAAACAGTTTAAACGTCCATATGTGTTTACAATTAATTCACTTGGAAGGATTTTGTACAGGTTTTCACCAATAACTTTTAGTCCGGGGCCATTTTAGAGCGCAGCTCTTAGGGGCCCGTTTCCAGCCTGAGCGGCGTCGGCGTCGGCGTCGGCGTCGGCGTCGGCGTAACCGGGGGGGAGGGGTCACGTGACCCCCCCCGAGGTCACGCAACCCCCCCGAGGTCACGCGCCCCCCCTCCGAGGTCACGTGACCCCCTCCGAGGGCACGTGACCCCCCCCCCCCCCGAGGTCACGTGACCCCCTCCGAGGTCGCGTGACCCCCCCCCCCCCCCCGAGGTCACGTGACCCCCCCTTTCCGAGGGCTTGTGACCCCCCTCCCCCGAGATCACGTGACCCCCCCGGGGTCACGTGAGTACCCGCAGGTGATCTGGCCCCCCTCAGTACCCTTCCCTACTCCTCCTCAAGAGCTGCGCTCCAATTCGGTGTTACAGGTATTTGTAAACGGCTTTCACTTTTTTCCTTTATTCTTTTTCTCTTGTAAGATCCAACCGTAAAAACTTTTTTTTTCTTTTTAATTTGCACGATTTTATGTCTTTAGGTAAAACAGCAAAAAAAAATCTTATAAACAATTTTGGGGAATTAAGTGTAATTTTGGATTTATTCTGATTAATAATTGACAACGCAATGGCAAAAATAATTCCAGGACGATTTACGTTAGTGAATGTCAAAGTAGGGCACCTCGGAGGATTCAATATCCCCAACATCCGTTCATGACAACTGGCCAAAGTGTTTGAATTTATGGGTCGCGAATGAAACCAATCTAAGTTTGCAATAATGCTAGCCATTTCTCCAGTTTCTGGCTTAGACTATGCCATTTGGGATTCATTCAAGAGGTAAAGGAGGATGCAAGGTTTTTATATCAGTGTGGTCCACGATCGCCCAGATGGTGAAGTATACATCGCTCACATTTAAAACGGCTTTCAACAATTCTTATGCGTTCCTGCGTGGGTGTCATTGCTTTTTGTGTTTGTCATCACGGCATATAGAAATAAAACGAAATAAACTCGATAAACGCCGAACTATACCAACTTGCAGGTTAACAGACGTGAACTCCGGTAAACGCCAAATTTACAAATAAAAAAAAAAATGAAACCAGGAAAACACGAATTAACTTGCACAAGAAGAGTCATTAAAAAAAACTCGAGAAACCTGGAATCTTATACAGTTAGACATGTGAGTGCAACGAAGCGTCATGAGACTGCTTTTCTGAATACACACAATCATAGAGGCTTAATGAACCAAGCGAAAACAATAATATTTCTAGGGTGTTTTCTTTTTAATATTTTTTTACTGTCGCTTTTTTGTTTGTTCTTTTCGCGGAACTGATTGCTTATTTTAAGCGATTATATTAACGAGTTTATTACGCTGCACTTGCTTGCGTAGAAGTCCCGGTACGGCGTGGGTTATGAGTTGCGATTTAAGGTACCATCAGTGAAGTCCTCGCGAACG